CTCTGCTTCCACTCTGGTGTTTTATGTAACCCGTTCTAATAGCCTCTCTCAAAGGGTTGGAATTGAGCATGAAGTGATCGAGCGTCATTTTTCAAGGTTTAAAGGTGAGCCAAGGTTTATTTTTTCTTGTTAATCGCTGCCGCCTACTGACAGAGGGCGCGCTGGATGGAGGTTTGCGCTGACAGGGCTCTTCTCGCGGTTGTGCTGGGTCAGGGGCATGAACAGGGGCAGCTGACGTGGGTGGGCTCACGAATGCCAAACTCGTCCTTCGTGGCTTTCTCTGGGCGTGGGGAGGGGGCACAAGTTTAGATCGGGGGGTGCCGTCTGAGACACTTAGTTACTCAGTTTAACTTGCCGTTTAATTTGCGTGGCATCTGAAAGAAAAGCTAAGCCTTGTTTTACGAGGAACTGAATTTTAGAAAAAGTGGTGTATTACACTATTTAAATATGACAAGCTCTCAAATCTCAACCCGTACAGCAGAAAAATGTGGTGTGATACTGGTTAACCAGGCAATCTGCTTTTCTTTGAGTTTCTGGAGCATTTCCTGTCACTATTCACTAATACGTTTCTAGATTCACTTAAAAAACCCTGAGTTAAGGTCATGTCTCCTCTGCTCGCTTGTCTTTTTCCTGCATTTTTATAGGCAACAACAAAGATTTGGTTACCATGGTTTCAAAAAGGAAATTGTCAAAAGCTGATGCTTCTGGAGAGAACTGCAAGACAGACGTGCCAAGTAGGTGCTCCGGTGTAATCATACGGGGAACAGAGACCTGTTGGCAGAGGCAGCAGCTCCCAGGCAGGGAGAAAGCCAAAATGAGTTTTGATAATGCTACTAGCTAATTGCTAATGATGCTGTTGATCTTTAAACACTTTTTAAAATAAGTCACAATAAACCCACAATGCTAAAAGCAGTGCCGTATCTTTTCTCAGTCCCTCTGTTCTCATGCCTTTGATCAGTGTTTATCATGTTGAGCTTCACTGCCTTCCAAGTCTGCAGATTAATCGCATTTGATCATAGCTGATGTCATAGAATCAAACCAAAATAACTTCTCTACGTAGCTGGAGGGAAGATAGTTATTTTTCGCTTTAGCAGATGGGTGGATACCTAAGAGACAGGTCTGGTGCAGGAACCTGTATTAAATTTGTGCTTTGCAGGCCAGAGGAAGGTATGTAGTCTAGCATTGCTCATAATCTGTTACTGGATACGTGTCCCATGGGATTAAGCCACTGAAGGTGTATCTTAATTGTCTTTGGTTATGGATCACTGAAGGGGGTGAGCAGGAAATGTTCCATTCTGGTGTCATGCTGCCAGGGTAACTGCCTCACAGGATCTGTGCGTTGGCATCTGAGTCGGCTAACAGTTCGTTGGTCTGGTCCCGTGAGTGTATTCCTGTGTTTCTCTAATTTCTCCCTAGAAGGTTAACTTTGAATTATTTTTTTATATGAAGGATCCTTGCTATTTTTATTGCAGAGTATATTTGACATAGCATGTTTTGTTTTCTCAGAAACAAAGAAGTCGCGGATTTCTGATACGGGAAAGGCCCCTGCCCATGGTGGAGCGGAGAATGAGGGAGTCTTTGAAGAGCTCCTTAGAACATCAGGAATTGTGCTGAAAGCTGGGGAGGGACAGAATGAAATAGGTATGGGTTTGGCGCTTGCTCTCTGCTGGTATCTGAAAACCTGCAGAGATGACTGGTACAAAGTAGAGATGCGTTTTACTTGCAGAGCGAAAATGCGTGAGCCAGCTTGTTCCAGAGTTCAAGCAAACCTTCCTCAGGCCTCTTATGTGTTATATACTGCTTGAATTGCACAGTGCCTAAACTCGTTATACCATTTTTTGGGGTGTATACATACCAAGTCAAAAGACTTCTAAAAGATTGTGGGAGGTATATGGAAAAAGATTAGACTGCATCCGTGATAACCGTATTGAGTTACAAAGGCAGGAGCTCTGAAACAGGAAAGCAAACATGTCATATTGCCTTTCAGCCCAGACAAGGCCCTCAGGAACTGGTGTGTTAAGCCTTTTTAGTGCTATTGGCTACTCTCAGCCCAGACTAGAGAAAGCAAAAGTGATGATACCCCTCAGGCTTTTGCTACCTGGACTTCTCAGTAGAGCAAACGCAGAAGTACTGGTGGATAGGCTTGTGAGCTTGTACTTAGTGTAGCTGTTATTATGATGTTGTATGGATAAATTGTGTCTGGTTCTTTGTTTTCTTTTAAAATTTTCTCAGCTGTTGATCAAATGGCTTTCCAGAAGAAGCTCTGCCTGGCCCTGGAGAAACACCCTACTTACCCAAGCGTAAGTAACAGGCTATGCTTTGGCAGAAGCCAGCTTTAAAACTGTTTGCTGTGTAGCAAAAGGTGCAAATGCAGCTGCCTGTCCCTGCTAGTCCCACACAAAAGTATGCAACATGGTAGCTTATCTTGGATTTCTGTGGTACAGACTCTCAGATTCTCTCAATGTTGACGTCCCAACCTTTTGGTCCCATCGTCCTTCCGCTGTTTGTCTCTTCTCAGCTGTTACGTCTGAATAGTCAGACTTGGAGATGTGCCTCTGTTAAACCAGCCTTGGTGTGCATGCTCCAAGTTTGGTTTCGCATAATTTCAAGCAAAAATGCTGCACTTCCACCACCTTGCCTTGTCGAGTGTTTAATTTGCAATATTATTCAATAGACAAAGATTCTTAAGGGAGAAAAATCACTTGCTTAATGTGCTAGTTGAAGCTGTGTTTGGTTTTGTGTTGGCTGGGAGCTGGCAGCATTAAAACTGCCACAATGTGGTGCTCCTCTCCAGTCAACAAACCCAGCGTGAAGTCCTGAGACCAGTCATTTGAATCCTGCAAATATTTTTTGAGTGCAGCTCTTGTCACATTAAATGTTGCATCTCAGCTGAACAGGAAGAAAGGCAAAGCCCTTTTAAATCAAAATAAAATGTGAGACTATTGCTTTAGAGTTATTTTGTAGAACTATCCATGTTTGCTTTTGAAAATGGTTTAGACTAGAGTTCATTTGTTCTCCAGCATTCCTTCCATCACGGTTTCTCTCTGTCTGCAGTTCCCTGGCTAGCTCTTCTCTGTTATCATCTGCTCACAAACAACATCCTAAAGGACAGCAGTCGATCAGGGTGTCTTTTCAGGAAGTGGATAACTTCTCTCTGTTTGCAGGTTGTGAAGCAATTTATCAGTGGCTTGGAATCTCACATCAAGGACAGAAACCAGTTCAAGAACTGTCTCTTGCCATGCACTCCCATACGGACTGAGGGGTCAAGGTCAGAGAAAACGTATTTTGTCTTCCCCTTCAGTCAGAGCCAGTCTCTAGCTAAATGTCATGTAACGTTGAGCAGAAGGGAGGGAAAGGCCAGAGCTCCAGCTGGTACACAACAGGGCTTGTTCCTTGTGCAAAAGTGGCTAGTATTAACGTTACTATTTAATAGCAGTAAGTTTAAAGTGGTAAGTCACAGAATTTACTAGCTGCCTGTTGCATACGTTGGGTTCCATGGCATTTTACGGCAAAAACCAAATACTGAGGGGAAAAATTTGACAAGGCTGGTGAAGGTCGACTGTTTTTTGACAATTTTTGTAGGAGATACAGCTTAACCACAGACACTTTTGCATTTCCAGCTCACACTAGTCCTGTAGAGAATAAGCTCGTTCAAAGCTGAAGTGCAATTTTAATTTTTTTGTGTGTGTGTCTCTGGTTACCGTATGTTACCGTAAGTCATTGTATGTATTAAAAAAAAAAAAAAACAGTAATGAAAAGAGTTACAGCCTGTTCTTCTAACATATTTTTATTACAATTGTGGTGGAATCTTTCATCTTGCAGGACTCTGGTGCACTCGTATTGTGAAAGCCTCATTAAGCTGCTTCTTGGAATTAAGACCTTACAGGTATGGGCACCGTTAGTTTGCGCTTTACAGCGGTGTTGGTTTATTTAGCGATCCTTTTGCTTATGTAAGTAGACGAGTAATAGAACGGGTTGTGAGGCAGATGAGGCTGCATCTGGAATAGTGTCCAATTTCTTATTTCTTTAGAGACACAAAGATGCTCAGGGCTGGGAGCACATGGCATACAAGAGGAGATAGAAGGAACTGGGTTTTTCAGTCTAAAGAAGAGAAGATTAAGGGAGATTTTGTGGTCTTCAAATATCTAGTTGCATGGTGTAGAGAAAACAGAGCCAGACTCTTCTCAAAGGTGAACAGTGGCAGGATGAGAGATGACAGCTCAGATCAACCGTGGGAAATTCTGATAGGCTATAACCACTTCACTGTGGAGAACGTTTTCTTTTAGTGCTAGAAGAGGTGATGGAAACTCCATTATGGGGGGAATTTTAATCTTGGAAGCGTTTAGAAGTGTGTTAGAAGTTTGCAAGATGCTGAGCAACCTGCTGGCAAGAACAAGTTCCATTAAGTTGTGTACAAGTTGCATCAAGATGTATATGGAGTTGAAGATGACAGATACCTCACCATGGCATGGGGAACCTTAGAGCAGCTGTGGATTTAAATTCTCTTATAATTAGAATGTTTCAAAAGTTCTTGTCTTAAATACATTTTTATAATTCCATTTGGGCCAGCATTAAAGCGGGGAAAAATTAGGCCTGCAAAGGGAATGGGACAAAGCGCGTGGGCATTGTTTTCAAACTTATCTAAAGTTGATGCTTTTTAGATTGCTATGTGGTGAAAAGGAGCTCAGCTGGGTCTGAGAAAGAGAGCTTAGTTTGGCCCAGAGAATGGTACATCCTGCCTGGATGCTCTGCTTCTCTTAGATTATGTGGGTAGTTTATACACCAGTCTCAGCATTTTTGGTTTTCAGCTAGCAGGCTGTGTGCCCCTTTTCTGACATTAGGGAGGAGATTTCTTATACAGGAAATATTCTTATTTGTCCCTTTGAGTCTTTCATTCTCTGCACGTATTTAATCTTTTGTGAAATGCCAGTTTTGGCAGCAATGCCCCAGCACAAGCAGTAAATCATCCTAACGCTGTCTTTTTGCCTTTCTTCTAGCCTGCTGTCATAACGCTGTTGTTGGAAAAGATCCCCGAATTCTTTTTTGACATGTGAGTGTAGTCTGTCTTCTCTCTGCCTTGAAATGAAATTTCTTCTTTTGGACAATCACCAGCTGTTTGACTTTAACTGCTACTTCAAATTTATCTGAATGGATGTTTGCGCCGATGTTTTTCTCTTCATACATGTGTAATACCATCTGTGAGGTACCATGACTTTAAACTTGTGGGTGTGCAAAGCAGAAGACAAATTTGTAGAAGCTGAAATACAGCAATACCTCATGATATATTATGCTTTTCTTAGCTACCAGCTTAAGCTTGGGAAGTATTTCAGCAGAGGGACTACGGAGTGTCTCGTTATTAAAAAAAGATGAAAGTGGCTGGCAGAATTTTAAGAGGTGATAGACCTCCTTTTAAAAATACAGATTGTGTTCAAACAAGGGAAATAGAAAGGATTTTGAATGTAGAACATCATAGCAGAGTGAGAGATCTTGAGGTGCAGCATAAGCAAGACTTGAGCACTGAAGCTCTTTTTCCGGTGCCCTGGATGCTCGTTATGGAGCTAGTGGAGCCGGTCAAGGGAGCGAAAGAAGCTGAGGCTGTTTCTGATGCAGGGTTTGTTTCGGTGCTGAGCATCAAGCAGGATACAACTGCTGTACAGAGGCTGAGGCTGAGAAATTGTCTCAGGCTGAAATCTTGTTGGAGGGTTTAACACAGTCACAAGGACTGAATTGTTTTCACTCATGAATTCTAAAGGATCTTTAATGTAAAAGTGATAAGCTGTTAATTGTGCTGTGAAGCCCTTAGTAAGTCTTAGAAATGGATGGTGTTACATCCATCTCCTATCAAGCTGTAAGAAGAGTGAATTTTTTTCTATGTATTAATGACCAGTTAAAAACGGAAACAAAAAATGGAAAGAAGTGGTCCATTTTACAGTAGGAGGAGGTTGTCGGGATGGCCCCATGGAGATCTAGGCTGTTCAGCATGTTTGGAAACGAAAAAGGAAATGAAAGTGAGGTAACAATTTCTGGTAACAATTTCCAGGATAATCAAATCTAAAACTAACTGTGAAGAACAACAGATTCTTTTTTTTTCTTCAGTGCATGTCCTGCTGGTTTTTGTTTTGTTTAATTATGGGACAAGAAACAACATTCATTACAGGTAGTCTGTAACCACACCTGTACTGACCAGCCAATGTCTCCCAAATCGGATGTAAAAGCATAGACCTGTCAGACCTCTACGGGTTTAATGCCAGTCGGTGCCTGGGCAGAGGACACTCTTGTGTGTCTCTTTATTGAGAAGGAAGGGCAGGGAGAACTTGGTTTATCCATGTGATTTGGCAACAGCCAACTTATTAATACGTATGTGCTCACAGACCTGTGTGACCAGAAGTTACAGAAGAGGGAGGGCATCTTAGGCAGTACAGCGCCATAAACCTCGTTTTCTTAAAAAATCTGACTAAAAATAATCCTGACTGTATAAATGCAATGGCAAACTCAGTGTTTTCACTGAGGAGAGGTATCTTGTACGGGTGCTCCTTTTTGTTTCTTGTTTTTAATATCAGTTCTATTGGGAACAAAATGGAAATCTCTGTAAATGCATGGCACAGTCACATGTTGAATGTTGCACGCACTCCTGGTCAGACTGTCACAAAAATATGGTAGAACAGTTTCTATGTAAGTAGGGAAAAATGTTGTAAATAAAATACGATTCTGCCTGCCAAAGATGATGACTGGCAGAGAGATGATCGATGTCTGTAAAAGCCAGAAAGATTCAGAAAAGGCAATTGAGGAAGGTTTGAGCAGTGTTTCAAACTACGTAAGGCAGCAAACAAAACCCCAGAAGTACTTTTTCAGATTATGTATAATTACCCTGTCAAATTCAGCGTTGGAGAATGTTGTGGGGTTTTTTGGTGGAGTGCTTCTTGTTTTTTTTAAAAAGGCTTAGGGAAATTAATGGAGGATAAATGTACTGCTGGATAGCAGACATGGAGTGGGTACTAGCCTCTGCCTTGGAAATTTGCTAAACTGCTAATTGTTGGAGATTGAATGGAAACTCTGTGGAAAGATTGCTCTGTGAACGCCCTGTTACCCAAAACTTATCCAAAAGTGCCTCATAGAGACTACCACTGGGGACAGGGATACTGACTCAAAGGAGATTTAGGCTAAGCTAGTGTAGCCACTCTTGTGGTAGGTAGCACAAGAAATCTGAAGTAAGGTCACGTTGTGTGTTGTTGGTGGTGGTGTATTGATGTTGTTGGTGTGACTGGTAGTGTCCCTGCTTTCTCTGCATAGCAAGTAAGAAGTAGGGTTCTTCCTAGACGGTGCTAAAATCTGTAGGAGTGTTAATGATATTTTCATAACATGGTTTTGATGGTTGGTTAATTGGAATTGCATCTCATGGTCTTGCTGACCAGTAGCAAAACTTTTGAGTCTGTCGGTCTGACTAATCTGTGTTTCACTTTCTGCTGTTTCAGCGTGGGCACCTTTGGAACAAATTTTCCCCGGCTCATCGTCAATCAGTTTAAATGGCTTGACAGGCTTGTTGACAGCCAGGTGGGTACTGATGCTGCAATCACATGTATGTTTTTTCCAGTCAGCTGCTGGAATGCCTCTCAGGTGGGATGAGATCAATTATTATGCTAATGAGAGCTGGTGTTGTTTTCATATTCACATGCTCAAGGAGAGATTTAATTCTCTCTCATTTATTATGATTGCCTTCAGTGACTTTTGAGCATCCCCTCTTACTACTTTTCTTCTTCCCTTGCTCTAAGTCTCCTTTTTCAGAAATTTGTACATATATATCCACACAGGTGACCTCATTTTAAAGCTGTTGCTGGCAGGAAGTTACAATCCCCTCTTGTTTAATTTTAATGAGATATTGGATGCTTGGCAAGCATCTGGGGATGAATTCTCTGTTCCTGATTTGCTGGTTCTTTTCCTTCTTTCCCTCAGTCAGTCAGTCTCTGTGGGTTACTTTGTGCTGGAGGGCTGTTACTAGGGAGTCCCAGAATTAACTGAACCAAGAAATCATACTGAACACTGAGAAGCTTGCCGTTGTGTTTCCCAATTTCCTTCCTTGCTCACCAAGACAGTTATATCCTACCTGTAAAATACCATTGTTCCATAAAAGTCTATGCAATGACACAAGTCTTCAACGGGACAATGATTTAAGGGAGAGTTGGCATAAGACAAATGACTTACTGGGTGACCTCACATGCATAACATTGTTACCATGCTAATGAGCCACTTGCTCATGGTGAGACTCCTGTATTTTGCAAGTGTTCCTCTTGTCTGCAGGATCTCATCAAGAAGTTAATGCAAATGGTTAGTGTCTCTCCAGTACCAATCCAGCATGATATTATCACCAGTTTACCTGAGATCCTGGAGGATTCCCAGCAAAGTGAGGTTGCCAGAGAGCTCAGGTACGGATGATTCTGTTGTTGATTTTTTGTTGTTTTTTTTTTCCCCTTGCACTTAGCAGAAAAGGACACTGAGGACAAAAGGACTAAGTAGAAAAGGCATTAGCACAGGTTGCACCAGGACTGACTGCAGTAGCAGGACAACAGTCTTTCTCTGTTAACAGTGACATTCAGGGACAGCTAGCACTGGCTTAAGACACTTCATTTGTGCTGTTGTGCTCTTAGAGGTCTAAATGCTCCAAAAGTGTTTTTATCTAAAAAAATGATTAAACTCTTGACTACCTGGATACAGCACAGGTAAAATCCGGTGAAGTGCTCATTACTTTAGCTGGATCAGTCTGTGATCAGTCCCTTGGGTATTACTATAGACAGCTTTTGATTTGGCTTGGATTCTGATACAGTAAGTGTCAACATTGTTTTTATTAATAAAAAAACCCACAACACAATAAATGTGTGCACAAAGCAGAACTTTCTGGCTATTTTATGTGTGTTTCTCCAGCATATTTACTGACCCAAAGAACAGGGGAACCTAATACCGACGGCTGTCCTCCCAGAGAACACTACCTTAAGCTAGCCCTTACATCTGTCTTTTTTTATAGTGTATTCATTTTACACAATATTTTTTTTCAGTGGTCTTAGCCTATATTTAATTTTACATCAGAGTTTCTAATTCTTACCATTACACAGATCACTTACATTTATGCCCATGCTAATTATCTTTTCACGCCTGTGGTCATTATTTCAGCCTACACCTGCAAGTGGTGCCTTCCGTTCTTCTACCCTCTCAAAAGCAGTTGTCGCTTTCTGTTTCCTTTCTCAGTTTACTGTCTCAGCTGCTAGATAAAAAAGCCCCATACAACTAAATTTTTTGTGGTAATCAGACTCTTCAGACTTCTATTTTCTCTACTTCTATTTTTTCAAAGCTGAGAATCTAAACAGTATCAGCAAGGCATATTTATTTCCATATTCTTAATAGCCTCTGCCCATTTCCAATGTGGAAAAATACTCATTGCTTGTTGTAATGAATTAGAGAGCATGAAGAGAATTACCAGGAAGCTGAAAATGACATGGTTTTCAACTAACACAATTCAAGTAGAACTTCTTGCTAGAGAGAGTTTGTAGAAACTTAGATGGCAGCCAAGACTGATGAGATGAATTTCAGGAGACAAGAATCCATGAGGCTGTTAAACACAACTGCAGTCCTATGGTCAAGAAAGTGCCAAACCACAGCTTGCTGGAAGCCAGACTGGTTTATACAGGAAGCATTTATAAATACTTGTCCAGTTCTTAGTCTGTTTGTTCCCTACTGACTAGTGCTGGGAAAAGGGCGCCAAATTAAACAGGTATCTGTTTTGGGCCCATTGTGCCGTTCATTACGTGTTTGCAATTGTTAGAGCAAATACTGTGACTAGGGGAGAGGTCCCACACGAGACAGATTCCATCCCTGACTTTGATGGCAATCTCAACTACACTTTCCTGATGGCATGTCCATGGGACAGAAGTGTGGCTAGAAGGTATCAGGCCCAAGTGATGTGTGTGGTTAAATCATATTCCAACAATCTCACTGTTTTTTTCTATTTATGATGAACTCAGGGCCTTCCAATTTTCAAGTTTTCACTTGAGGCTTGTACCAGGTCTTTGTCCATGTTCCCTGTTTTCTAAAGATTTGGAAAAGGTAGAATCTTCAGATCTGCTTCTAATCAGCAACCACAGAATTACAATTCAGTGTGTTCAGAGAGGATTGATAATTTAGATTTTCCATAATGGCAGTGGCATGTTTTGTTGGCAGTTTCAGAGGTTTTTTTTGCAGTGACCACAAAAGTTACTGGAATCATACAACTTGCAAAAGATCCATTGATGGTTCTATTAAGAGGATCATTTGTTTTCTTTTCCTTATGTGTCAGCTGCTTACTGAAACAGGGCAGACGCCTAACGGTTCCAATCCTCGATGCCCTTTCTCGTCTGGATCTTGATGCAGACCTTCTGGCTGAGGTAAGAGCTTTTATTGGACAGTTGAGCAGAACCCAGCCCCTGCTTAGCAACACAAGGGCTAGAGCTGTTTGGGTTTTGCTAAATCAGACTCCTATAGGCCTTCAAAAGTCCTGAAATTGGAAAGGAGTCAGAGAAATTAAAACTGTTTGGAAACAGACAGGAGGGGTTCAGTGAGGAATGGACAGAAGTTTTCTGGTATACATTCAGAAATTTCAAACAGCACTCTTGGCAAATGCAAAAGCTCTTTATCCTGCTGCAGTAAATGTTTACTGCCCATCTTAAACCTACTTATTGCCACTACTTCTTTTTTTGAGGCACAGTGACCAGACTAGATTGCTATGTTCTAGGAAGAAGCAGACTGGTGATTAAATCATCACGCGGTCATAGTTTTTCTCTGGAGAATAATGATAAAGGAGATGAGGTGTTGTGCCTTGGGTCTTCTGGGCATGCTGGAATGTTGCACTTTTTGCAGTTAGTCTTCTTATGAATAGAATAAAATTGATTCATTTGAGTGCAATAAATACTATTTTACATAGTCCCCAAAGGCCTGTGCTGCATAACAGGCTACACCTCTTCCATGCTTTTCCCTTTTGAAAGTCAGTTACAAAATGATGGAGCCAAGCTCTTCTTGGCAGTGCCAGGTGATATGATAAGGGGCAATGGCCACAAATTACAGCCTAGGAGGTTCAGACTGGACATTTGGAAAAAAGACTTAGGATCTGCAGCACTGACATGCATTATCAAAGAGACGACAGGTCTTGGGAGGTTTCCTCCATTCTTGGGTATCTTCAAGACTCAGTTAGCAAAGCCAAGGCCAGTCTGATCTAGTACTGACAATATTCCTGCTCTGAGCAGAAAGCTGGACTAGCTAAGCCTCCAGAGATTCCTTCTCACTAACACAGCTTTGATTCTGCGACCCATAGTCTTACAGCTGATCCAAGATTGATTTCCCCTCAGGTGCGGCAGTCTGCCATGGCCATTGTGCCTTCGGTAAAACTGGAAGATTTGCCTGTGGTAGTAAAATTCATCCTCCATAACGTCAAGGCAGCAGACGCAGTAGAGGTACAGTATTTTCTCTATACTAAGGACCAATGAGTTGTCTAATCCAGTGCATGTTTTCACAGAGAGCAGTTGCTTCTTAGCATTTTCAAGTAAAATTTTTGATATTGCCAAGGATCAAAGCACAAGTAGGAACTGTGTCTGTCCTTTGACATGGATCTGGTTCTGCTTTCAGGCATGAGAATTGAAGGCTTCTCCTTTCTGCTGGATATTGCAGATTTTTCTCATTTGTTCTTAGATTATTTCTTTTTTTGGTGTAAACATCTTGAAGAACTGAAAGCAGTCACATTGTCTTGAGTTAAACTTTTAGACTGAAAAATTGTGGTTAGGTGTAAACTTTAAGCCTTTGAATTTTGCCTAAGAATTTTCCATTGTACAGGCTTTCTAAGGGTTTTAAATTCCAGAAGTATCCAACAGTCCTGGGACTGCAACTTGGTAATTCTCTTCTTTTCTCCGCTGAGTTCTGTTTTAAATCGTGTTTTGGAAACATCCCTACAAGGGTGGTTCTCCTGTTGGAGAAGCGTTTTAATTCTAAGATGTAAGCTTCCTCAGTTCTTTAAGTTGCTTTATCTAAGGAATCATATTCAGAATATTTTTACAGTGAACCAGACATGTTTTGACAAGCCAGCCTTGCTGAACTATTGACCATGTCTTTTTTCATACTTGGAGAAAGCCTCAGCTTAAGCCAGATGTTATTTGTGATCTGCCCAAATCCTTCAGGGAAACCACTGTGAAAACAGCATATATGTATAACATACAACCCAGTCTGTGCTGATCCACTACAATTTGACAGCAGTTAAATTGGTAAATTCACATGATCCAGAATTCCTGTGGCTGTTCTGTATCTTACTCTGTTACTAAACCGGATAAAACTAGTTCACAGCAACATACAGCAGGTATAGGTGGGAATTTCATGGAGTAATTCTTAGGAAATCTTCTTCTGTTTTCTGCATGCATGTGCATGACAGTGAAGAGCAAAGTGTGACTGGTTCAATTTCTAAGTATAAAAACCAACTTTGAGCACAGTTAAATGCTTATAAGTCTTTACAAATACATGAGGTTTTAGTTTATAATTTTTAGGTTATTCTGTAAGATTGTGTTTTCTTTTCCTCAGCCTTTTCTTTCTCTTCCTATGTCACCATGATTTGTGCTGGGATTTGTGTTTTACAGGTGATTTCTGATCTTCGTAAGAGCTTGGATCTGTCCTCATGTGTTCTGCCCCTGCAGATCCTAGGTTCCCAGAAGAAGCTTAAAAGTCAAGTCCAGGCCAGGTACTTCAGCTGATTTACGTGATTCTCCAGGGGTAAGATGGGACAAGAGAACTTTGGCTTTTCTTTATCTCGTCTCTTTGGCACACATGGTTACATGCATGAGCCTAATTTATCCCAAGTTAAGGTGCTGATGACTTTATTCTTTCCCAGTTGGTGCTAATATAACATATTTGTCAATCCTTGGCGGAGCTGGCTTCCCCTGCCATGCATGTAGCTCCTTTTGAGCCATCTGCATCCGTCTGCATGGGGGTATGCAACTCCGTTTATAATAATGTTGCTGCTAGTTCATCTGTTTTAAGTTCCCTCCAGTATGTCTTTGGTTGATTCTGCAACCTCTGCTTCCACCCTTTTCTGAAACTCTCTTCTGAAACTCCCTATCCTTGCCAGAGCATTCCCTCTAGAGAATGGCTGCTTTAAGTAACTGCTGTGACTGCTAGGCTGCCTTGTTCCTTTTACCACAGTATTTAAAATGACTGAGTCTCCTCCTTTCTGATCACTTACAGTTCTTCCATGAGCCAAGTAACCAGCAGCCAAAACTGTGTGAAGCTACTTTTTGATGCGATCAAGCTAGCTGTGAGATTTCAGAAAGATGTCTCTGAAGCTTGGATTAAGGTAAGATGCTTCAGTCCTTGTTTCCTTGTTTAGTTGGGCTTTTAGGTTGAGCTCGAGCCTTTCCTGTAATCAAATGTGATATCAAAAGGCAAATGTTAGGTGTTCATTTTGCTGATACGGATTTCATTCTTTGTTCCAAATTAGCAGTGCTTTTTCCGGAGTCTGCTTTCTTCCTCAGTTACCGATTTCAAAGTGCTTGCAAGATGGCTACTGGGCTCCACTGCACAGACCCTGGATCTTGAAATGCAGGATAAACCTGGTTCTGCATGTTTATGATTTGGAAAAAATAATCTTAGTTTTTTTTCTGTCTGCAAGAGAGCAAAAATGTGTACCTGTATGTTGAGACTGAGCTGTGTGAAGCCTTAAGGTGCTTGAAAATGTCCAGGAAGAAATCAATATTGGCTGGTATTGGGCTAAATCTAATTTTAAATTGCATTTCAGTGTAAACCATGGGACTGTTTCTTGTTCCCAGCCTTTCATTGCTCAATACCTTAGCTCCTTTGTCAAGCCTGACGTTATTTGAGAATGTCCTTGTTCAAGCTGAATTTTTCTGCTGTGTTTTTGAGTGCCTTCTGGATTCTCTGCCTTTGGCAAGATCCAGTTTGCTGGCTTTGATAGCTGTTCTGTAGAGAGAAATCTGTGAGAGTGTTTCTTTTGATGTCTGCCTTTTTTTTTTTTCTTAATTTTGGGACATAGTATCATACTCTAGGTTAACAGCTTGCTTGTTTTTTTGCTTTTAGGCTATCGAAAACAGCACGTCTGTATCTGACCATAAGGTAATACTTCTGACTCTGCACTTGTCTCTGTGAGTGTCCTCTTCTGCTGATGTTTTCAAGAGCTTTTTTCATGGATGTAGATGAAGAGATTTTTCTAGTTGGAGCAGAGGCTGCCAGTGATGTTGCATGGGTGGTTCTTTTGGTATTTGACTTGTTCCTAGTATAGCAGCTGTCCATTTTCTTTGTAACTTTTAGTTCATCCCTTCTAAGTGTCAAGGGACAAAGTTATCCTGCTTTAATTCTGTCCTGTTGGACTGATAAGGTGTTTCTACAGTTGTGACTGTTGGGGATTTTGAGCTCTTGATTTTCTTCTCAGTTTTGATTTCAAAGTGTGTAATTGTCTAGACTGTTTAATATCTTTTCAGCATTAATGATTGGTGGTTATTTGCTCAAAAAGGTTCTGGATTTCATAGTTTTGCTGCTAATCCATTCTATAAACACCAAGAACAGGAAGCAAACTGAGAAAGTATTGAGGAGCAAAATTCGACTGGGCTGCATGCCAGAACAGCTGATGCAGAATGCCTTCCAAAATCATTCAATGGTCAGTGCTGATTCTGCTTTGGAGCTCCCTCTTCTCTTGTATCTCTCAAAGATCTTGTCAGATGATGATTTAATCCTGTGCTGCATTATTTATACTATTCCTGTTAGTTACATTTACCTTCTGGTTTTTGGTTTTTGGTCCCAGATCAGTCTCCCAAGGCACATGTCTTCTGTTGTAACTGTCGTGTTTTTTTCAGGGATGAGCTTTCCTCAGAATTGGGTGGGCTTTTTATTTTGGTTCAAAAGCTCTGAGCCATAAAGATGTGGTCTAGCCCAAGATCTCTACTGTGTGTTCCAGACATGCTGTTGTCTCCCACAGCATTTTTAGAAGTTCATATGTGTACGTGCACTGTTTTTCAAGTTTAATGGTTTCTAGGTCGAAATATGTGTGTATATATAGGGCATACATTTGTAATGTAAATTACCATTTACTATGAGAAAACTGAAAAGATCAGTGAACACAGTGCTGCTTGTCAGAGGTAGAGGACATGAGAAACACTGAGTTTTGAATTCAAAATTAATTAATTGAACTATAATAATGCATTAAGTAGACACGTTTTGTTCTGAATATAAGTGGATTTATTTTAGTTTTAGTTAAACTCCCTTTCAGAGTAAGTTAAGATAAAGTAAATGATGCCATTTTACATCTGAGTAAGAGCTTGTTGTTCAAAGGAGCTCTGTGTGATTAAGCTGACTTTAAAAGTTAACTTAGATTTTCCTGAGTATTTTGTTGTAGTGGAGTCCTTCTGTTAAAGTAAAGCCAAGAGTGTGCCTGTCCTGGGGATTTTATTGAGTGGTATATTGCTGTAATGTGACTTCCCTGATGTCACCCTTAAGGGATATAATGCTGTGAGCCCTGCAGCTTTGCAGGTTGGCTTCTTAACCAATCTGTAAATCTTTTGTGTGGAGAAGGTTGGCGAATCCCATTCTGGTGTGCCTTACCTGCTCGTTGCCCATTTGCGTGAGAGAGGACTGTCAGAGAAGGCAGGAAAGCACCTGCTAAACTAGACAAAGCTTTTGGGATAACCTGTGGTACATTCTTTATTTAGAGAACTGAGTGTGCTGAAACAAGCAGCAATAATCACCTCTTTCATGATGTCTGTATTTCAGGTGATCAAAGACTTCTTCCCTTCAATCCTAGCACTTGCTCAGACGTTTTTGCACTCTGCACACCCAACCATAGTCTCCTTTGGTAGCTGCATGTACAAACAAGCTTTTGCAGCCTTTGACTCTTACTGCCAGCAGGTATAGTGTGATGGATGGCATCTGCTTTATTTGTGTTTGCACTTTGTTTTAGAATGTATGTCGTGATCCATTAGGGGGAGAGGATTTGAGGCAGTTGGAAACCTTTGGAGAGAAGTCTATGATGTAGAGTAGGCCAAGCAGAAGATGGGCAACAGTCACAGCAAGACTCTGGTAGCAAGTGACTCAAGCACAGAGACTGAGCACAGGCAGGCCTCAGAAGTGACTGAACGAAAAATACTTATGGAGCAGAGGGGACTGTGCTATGTTTGCTCAATTCAGAGAGCAAACAAGTTGACTGAGACTCTAGCCAGGAAGTCAGGACTGGCCCCCAGGGTCACGGCAGAGATTTGTTCATAAATATGTATTTCTCTTCTGTCTTACCTTTACCTTGTCACTTTTTGAGCATCCTCTATTTTAAAAAGCCATTGTTATAGTTTGTATTGTAACTTTTTTTACCTTTCCTTGGATAACTTACTGTGATGAAAAAGTTTGCACAGATTTGCCTCAGAGCTCTGGCCAACTTGTACTCTCCTACTTACTCTGAAATAATCACAGACCAGACTTTCAGGTCTGATTACGAGTTCCTACAGACATGCTGACAGGAGAAAATCTGGAGTTTGAAGACAGCTCTGCACAAGCGTTTGAATATATTTGCGCTTCTTTGGGCACAGTATGTTTATAATTAAGACTGTTTCCAGTGTTGTATCTGTATTACTTATTAAAGCAAACTCAGCAAATAGACAAACAAAAAAGCAACTGGGAAAAACCTGAGGCCTAAAGGCAAACAGTGTCATCTACAACAAGCTAGTGAGTCTAGTGATATTTTGAGATGTTAAGAATTTCCACAGAGGATGACTGTATTAGCAATTAGTGACATAGAAAAGACCCAGAGCCACAAACAGTAGATGGCAGTGAAAAGAGATCCATGTCCAGAAGTCAACTGAAGTAAGACCATAAAAAGACTTTTGAGATAAAAATGGCAATTTAAACTGCTGTTGATAAAGATTATTAAGACACTGGAACTGCTGAAGTTAGAGGCAATGTATTCCTGGGTAAGGTGCAGTGTTTTGGGCACCTAAGAAAATAGGGTAGATTTTGATCATTACATGTGATGGTAGCAAAGAGCAGAGGCTGCAGCAATGTTAGCAAAGCAGGTAGGAAAAGTTTGGTGAGGAGCTGCTTTATGGAATCGTGGGATCTTTTTGAACTGAATAAAATTCAGGCTCAAGGAGAAAGAATATTATGTGTATCAGGAATTAAACAGCAAACTGAGAAGGGACTTAGAATAATATGGTTGAGTTTCTGGATGATTATCCGAACTTGATCAACATATTCTATAGGAGCAGAACAGGGCAGACATTTTTCTGTTGACATTTCGCTATCATTTCTCTGGGGGCTTTTTCCTCAGGAGGTTGTGACTGCTTTGGTGACTCATGTGTGTAGTGGAAATGAGACGGAACTGGACATCTCTCTGGATGTGCTCACTGATTTGGTGATGCTGCACACATCCCTTCTGATGCGCTACGCCACCTTCGTGAAGGTACGAATATTTCTGGGGCTTGCTACATTTCAGGACCCTTACACCACTTTGCCCCAGATCCAGAATAGATCAGCACTTTTCAGAAACAGAGGTAATGGAACTAATTGTACCTGTAAAACTATCTGTCTTGAGAAATGCAGTGGTCAGAACTGAAAGGTATCTGCTAGAAAGGGGTGAGCTCTAAGATAGACTGTATGATTTTTTTGATAGGGGAAATTGAGATAGACAAGGAAAAAAAGTTACACTACCCTGTTACTGGAGAATGCTTAAAGTGCAGGCGTGGAATGACACCTATGATGGAAGAAAAATGGTGTCTTCATTAACATCAGCTATTTCAAACACTTGACAAAAATCTGCCCCCTTTGTGGGCTGCCTGTTCTACCACATTGAAAGACGGACAATACTTTAGCCCGTATTTGAATCCTAAAACAAAACTCCTGGCAGGGATGGGAAAAAACTTAAATCCTAACATTTAAAAGAAGAAAGTGCTCCACAGGGAGAAAAAAATGGGTTCTTAACTCCTAAGAATGACAGGCAGGGTCAGGCCTGCCCAGTTGCCTGTTTCCAAAAGTGGTAAAAGTGAAGATGGAGGGAAAAGCAAAACAGCAAGGTAGCATGTAGCAACACTTTTCTTGAACACTCCCCCATCTGTGGTGATTTGTAGCTTAAGGACATCCTGTGTTTAAGAGCACTTGAAGAGTATGAGTATTCCTCCCACCCCTCTGACTTTTTTGATGCCCACTTGGTGTCGGTGGATTCTGTAGTTTAAGTACACAATGTGGGAAAGCTGTGTGCTTTTTGCTGTTTAGCTGGTTGATTGTTAAATTTAAACGACTTGCTTAAAATATGCTAAAAAGGCATTAAGATCAGCCATAAGAATTTGCAATGCAATCTGTCACATTTTTGATGGGTATAACAGGAAGAAATGGAGCTCGCTTGCCTCCTGGCAGAGGGAGGATGTGATAAGGACTGAGGGTTGAAAGTAGTCCTTGGAAGAGACAACCTAAAACTCCTGCTTATAATCGAATGCATGGTCAGACGTACCATGGGGAGTACTTGCCCACAGCAGTCTGCTGAGTCCTTCGACCTTCCTCCTGGCCTTGTTTGCATGTTCTTGTGCTGGCAGTTCATTTACAGATGATGGTTTCTATAGGCCAGTCTTTGATACGTTACTAAAGCTTGTATGTGAAACACATTAATAAATGCTCTGGCCAGACCTCGAGGTCTGGCAGAGTACCATGCTTGGCATGCGTCTCAGAGGTGGTTGAGACACTAGCCAGTTACCTGTAAAAAGATCTGTAGAGCTGCAGGTGCCTGGCATATTTTTAACACTGAGCTGGAGCCTCTCCAGCACAGAGAGAACACGCAGATCTCAGCACAAATCATCTCCCCAGAAAGCTATTTTTTAATCTTAAAACTGAGTGTATTTTATTGAGGGATGCAAAAGTGCTTACCTTGTTTCAAATCCTGCTCGAGGTTGGCCAGTAGTAGGAGAAACATAGTGGCAGCAAAATACCTGTCGGTGGTAGGAAAGTTAGTGTGGCTCCAGGAAACAGTTGGACTGCTTTTCACTGAAGTACTGGAAGAAGAAATATTCTGAGAATGCCAGCCAGCACAGAAAATTCCACCCTATAATTATGAACAACTTGACTGTTACAGCTTTTGTAATGGAAACATTAGCAAAAAAACCCATAATGTTCGTTTTGTCAAATGCTTTGAATACTGTGAGCAAACCTGTGATAGAAGGTAAATAGCGGTCACTAATGGGAATGTAGCACTCCCGAAATGCTTGTGGTAGCCAGCTTGTTCTTCCCAGCCAGCCTCTGATAAAATGAACTGCAATAATTGAGGCCAGAGTAATAGCTCTGCATTTACGTTTATTTAATTTGAATGTAGCTTTTTCCTGCCTGTACAAAAAAGGTAAAGTCAATTGGCTTCCCTGTGGTTGACAACTGGTGTATTATTTGGAATGTGGAAAGGAATTCTTGATATATCTGGGCTAGTTTGTGGCTTCTGTCTTACAGACCATTTTAGACTCTACACAGAAACTGAATCCATGCCAGATCCGGAAGCTTTTCTACATTCTCAGCACACTGGCATTCAGCCAGAGGCAAGAAGGAAGCTATATTCAGGTAAGCAGAGACACAGCAGAATGGAGTTCAGGCTGTACCTTGGTCCTTTTTGCTAGGTTAACTTCCAGAGGTTCTGTGGTGCAAGTAGTGGCCTCGTCTATGAACAGTGATTGATGTCAGGATGTCCTCCAGCTTAAAATTCTCTGCTCCCCAGCTGGCTGCATGCCACCTTGCAGCTACAGACTTTCCTACCCTGTATCACAAGGACTCATCACGGTCACTGCATACCTCACATCTTTCCCAGAAAGATCTTTCTTCTCTTGCACATCTAAGAAAGGTAGAGTTTGATAGAAATGTTGGTGGAAGAAGACTGATGGCAGTCTCTAATCTAACCTCCCAGTCAAAGTGGTACGGTCACTAACATGATATCAGGTTGGCTGTGGCTTTGTCTAGCTGAGCTTTGAAGACTTGCAAAAGTGTAAATTCAGCAGCCTCTTTCTCAAGCTTTGTTTCTCCGTCATTTGGAAGCATTCAGAAAGCACAATTCAGCTTTTACCCCCTGAGATGTTCATCTCAATTAGTGTTTGTACTCTAGAGACAGCAAAGACTCTTGTGTTAGAAGAACTGAGCCACACAGCACAGAGGACTCTGCTGTGAAGTGGTAGACTTCACACCTGTTGTGCCTCTAGTTTAAACACGAGAAGCTATCAAACCTAATCTGTTTAAATTCATATTCATTTTGCATAGGATACCTTGTATGACTCAGTTGCAGCATGAGTGGTGGTATCAGATACCTTTGTCTGGATTTCTGCCTCTTTGAGCATGGCAGTGATGAGATAAAGACAAAGAAATTTCTCAGAGACATTTATTTCACAGTGGAGATGTCTGGGTTTAAACTCTTCCTGTTCATAAAGCTCTGCTCCTAGAAATTAGGCCTATTTGTCTGTCTTTGAATTGCTACATAGTTTCTAGTTGTGGGTATGTTTGCTCGTTCCAGCTTGAGACTACGAAGGAAAACCTGCTCCTGTCTGCGGCGTGTAAAACAGCATGTCTGTCGTCATTTCTTCCCACTGACCCTGTTTAGGATGGAGCTCTTCACTGGCAAAATTGCCAGTTGTATGGCAGGTTTAGCTCCTTTCTGAACTGCTTTCCTCAGTGATTTCCTCTCCTCAAGTCTGTCTTTCTAACGTGTGACTTGCGAAAATTGCCTTGGCAACACAAAGTGACTTTGCAGCCCAGAAGGACTAGCCGTCAGGAAGAAGTGTTCTGCCTGTCACTCATAAATTGCAAAAAGGAGAGGAGTGTGAGCTCTAGAATTTATTCTGAGCTGAGAGTTTGTGACTGTGGGGATCCAAGGTTGGCAGTTTGATTCTGTCCTCAGTGATACCGAAGACTCCAGGGGTAGATCACCAAAGAAATCAGTATCCTGGGAACCAACTTCCTCTTTGCCTTCTCTTAACCGTACTTGTAAAACTGATGCTTCTTGGACATGAGAATCACTACAGGCAGATTAGGCATTTGTTCTTGCGCTGCACAGATCATTCCAGAGGGATCTTTCCTAGTGAAGGTCAAGAAAAGTTGGCATAGCTGTGTACTGTCCTTTTCTCTGCTACTAGTTTGATGTTGTTGGGACTGGTGCTTTGCGTAGCATAACTCAAGCTTTTATCTGCTCTGTCTCAAGCCCCCTGTCTGGTCAGAGCTTGTGCTTTCATGCAGCTCTCAATCCCTGAGGATCTCTGTATGGGTCAACCTCCTCCTTTGCAGGACCTGTAGGAAGAGTTAATAAGCATCAATGCAACCAGGGCTGTATTGATTCCGTAACATTTTTCAGTGCCGTGTGGGATCTTTGCTGCTTTTATGAAGCTGCTTCTGAGTTCTCACACGTGCTCTGTCGCAGCCTGAGAATGCTGCTGCTCACAACAGGGATGCTGCTTTTCTGCAGCAGTCGCTGCTGAAGTCAGCAATAAGACTGTTGCTAACTGGCTAAAATAAGTGGGTTTTCTTATTAGTGCATTCATCGTTCCATCTCTGCTTCGAAATCAGTTACTTCCTGATACCTGCTTTTATGTATCGGGAAGCTGAGCTGTCCCTTAGCTTTGGTCAGGACCCACTTGGCAGCCTTCTCCCACGACTGGCTGCTTAGCTAAGGTTCCTGTCTTGTTTCACCTACGGTTTATCAGTTTAAGGGATCAGGCAGAACATGTCCCTTTGTCAGACAAACTGTTCTGGACGTCTGTGGCTGACCGGTTTCAGCCTCCGGTCAGCTGTTCCATTGTCCTCTCTCAAGGTGAGGCTTTCTCCATTAGCATTCCTCTGCCAGCAGCGCAGGTGAAGCTTGGATTCCTGTGGCTGATTTGCTATGCGCTCTTCTGTGCTTTGCCTTCAATCTCTTTGGCGAGTGTTAGACTTCTCATCCAGAAGACTGGTCTCACGACTTTCCTGAAGCATCACACTTCTATGACTGAGCATGCTTTGTGCTCTCAGTGTTAGGGGACCTCTTAGTCTATCATTAGAGCTCCAGAATTTCAGAAGTCTTCAAAGCTCTGCCCATTTTGGGAAAGTGCAGCCAATCAGCTGCTTGACACAGGTGTTGAAATAAAGCATGCTGCTTTGACACTTGCCATGGGCTCATGGAGCTGCTGCAGAGAAGCCTTTGCAATTGTGGAGGGCGTGTTTGCCCACACCCAGGGGACAGGGAGGCAGCATGAGAAAAGTAGGAATCCCAGGTGTCTGGTATGCTGTTACCTACAGCTCTCTTTCGACCTTCACCAAAAACAGTCCATCCCTCAGCCTTCTGAAGTTGACAGTGTCTCAGAGGGCAGCTCTGCAGCTGCTGTTTGTGTGTGAACAACTCCAAGACTATCTGCTATTTTTTTTAAATATATTCTTCTATTAATCATAGATGAAACCTGGACCAGCTACATGTTCTGTGTAGCAATTAGAGCAAAGTCAAAGCGAGTCACTTCTAATGCTGTTTGCAGCCTTACCTCAAGTTGTGACCACTATTTTCATAATAAAGGAAATAGCAAAGTGTGCATTCCTTTTGCAAAGCTCTCATCCCAGTAAACCACCCCCCTGCAGCCTTTGGAGATGACATTAAGTGAAGATGCCGATAGAATTGTGAGCGATGCACTCTACCTCAGTGGTGACGTAGCCTGTGTCTTTCTTTTTAGGATGATATGCACATGGTGATCAGGAAATGGCTCTCCAGCACAGTTCCCAACCACAAACAAATGGGGATTATTGGTGCTGTTACCATGATAGGCAGCGTGGCATTAAAAAGGTGAGAGAGAATGTTGCAAAGATGAATTTAACATGCTTTCAGTTCAGACCAAACGTGGAGTGGGACAAAAAAAGGAAGGCATTGCCTTCTAGCTCATGCACATCTTGGTCAAATCCAGGAGCTTAAAACTTTCTGCAGACTGAGGTGTTTGGTGTTACAACTTGTTCAATACTGCTCTCCTGCTGCTAATGTCAAAGGCATCCTGAATTTCTTGTTAATGCCTGTTCATGGATGTCTTGACTAGCACCAGCAGGACCTATTGCTTGGAAAAAAGTTTGAACACTCTGGTGGACTGACTGCAGATCAGCTTCTGACACTAAGGATGAATAACCTTGTGAGCTCCATGTTTGGATACAGGGAAATCTGAAAGAGGAGGAAGGAGAAGGGTTGTTACTGCGGTGCTGGACACTGACAAGACAACCAATGTACTATGTAAATAGCTTATGAACAGCATTCATAAACCAGGCAAACTCCTGATAAGAGCTCTGACAAAGATTCAAGCACGTGGAAGATAAGAATTTGGCTGGTGTTGGGAAGCATTATGTAACTTGCTGATTTTGCACGTCTTAGTGAATTGCTTTTGCTGTTTATTACATGAAGAGAAAAGCCTATCTTAGCTCCAGGCCCGGAGTCAGTGGGCTTCACTATGGGGATGACTACAGGGCTTTAGATTTCAACAGGTTAGAAAAAGCATATCCTTGAAGAATACATTGAGTCTTGTCCCCAAAGTCCCAAACAGCAGCAGGTCGCTTCCTAACAACGTTCCAAAGAGCATCTTTTTCACACATAATTCTCCGGTTTCTAGAGAGGGAACCTTGTGTGTGTGGTGGGTTTTGCTGTCTCTTGAGTGTTGTGCAACAAAAGCAAGATTATCAATTGCTTTCAGAAATGAAGGAGATGGTGGTTCATTGGAAAGACCAGAGCTGAACAGCGAGCGGGATGGGCAGGTGAGTGCCAAGAATGGGTACATACTGGGGCAGCGTGGGAGACTGGGAGGATATGGTCAGCAAGGAGGTGTGACTGGAAAGACATAGTATGTGTGTAGCTTTATTGGGCCTATTAAAAATGGTTTTGGAGAAACAAAGATCTATATTAAGATAGCATCCGCTGGTCTTGCCTATGGCTAGTCTGGGACAAGCAGTACTGCAGCCATCTAGTGAAAGTCTTCTATCCAGGTATTGTTTCAAACACAAAGGAAACAAACAGGACAATCTGCTTCAGTGAGCCGAAGCCAACCTTCACCTTCCTCTCAGCTTGGCAGCGATGCCTTTCAGGCCATCTAGAGAAAGTACTGCTGTACAGATTTGGCCTAGCCTTGACCTTTTTTCCTAGTTCTTTTTTGCCACCTTATTCTAAGCTGGCACTCTATTTAAGTATGGTCCTGGGCAGACTCTTTTATGTTATTTCATGGTGGAGCTGGGCCAGGACCTTAAAAGACCTATGTTCCTTCTTAAAACTGGGTCTTTGCAAGACCAGTCACCTTGGGCTGTTACCCTAAGATGAAGTTTTGGATATGCCTCAGAGTAAATCAGTGTAAAAGGGACTCAAGGGAAAAGCTTGAGTTGGATTCATTGACCTTACCTGTTTCTGCAGACTGCTCTCTCTCCTTTCAGCTTTCTACCTTGCTGGACCTCGTGGGCTTCTGCTGTGAGCAAACACCAGAGGTCTTGGCCCTGTACTACGATGAACTCGCCAGTTTGATTGAGAAGCAGAAGGGGAATTTGGACTTGCAGCTCCTGGTACGTTGCAATGTAGTTTGAACTTAATCGCCTAAATGAATTCTTCAGAAACATGATGTTTTTCAGGCATTGGCATGACAGTCGATTTGAGGATTTCATTCCAGTCTGAGAACTCTCTTTTTTTGTTCTAGGCATGCTTAAGGTCCTGCAGAAGGTTGATCAGATACAAAATCCTCTTTCAGCTCTCATTTTTTTTTGATTGTGGCAGATTCCTCATTGTGCTTTAACAGCTTCCTTTATGTGAACTTCTACATGACAACAGGGAAGCCTTTTAAGGGAAATCTAATGACATTTCAGAGCATGCTTGTAAGATTCATAGGTAAAAATAGAATCTGAAAGAACTTTAAACTGAGAATTGAAATTGGCCTCTGGTCAGACTGATGCTATCTGATGCCTAAGGACTTGGAAGAGCCATGGTCAGTTATGGTAGTAAATAAATAAATAAATAAATAAATGGTATTTATGATAATAAGAAGAGGTTTGTGAAGGCCACTGGACAGCTCTTTCTTCTTGCTGGGGACTCTTTTTTGCATGTGTGCTGTGCCTACCAGGAGGGTAGCAAGGCATCTTGGGGTCCAGGAGAGCATTGAAGGCTGCTGTGGAATTGACCCCTCTCTGTGGTACAAGTGCTCTTTGCACCTACAGGTTACTGAGTGAAGGAACTGCGTGTTAGAACAAGGGAAGGTGACCAGGGAGCTTTGAAGTGCTGGCAGTCACTGGGAACAGCTCTGTGCCTATGCCAGGGGTCTCCTGAGGTCCAGCTGAGTGCTCAAAGGAGGCAAAGCAAAGGGAGGAGGGTTTATCCTTTTTCCTTGCAAGACTGAAATGTAAAAGCAAGCTAAGGTTCTTCTTACAGCTTTTGTGCAGATTTTTTTGGGTATTTTCATTGTCCATTTGTCCAGACTCTTGTCACATCTATTACTTTACTTCTCCCTTAATTGTTTCTAACAGTGAAAGCAAGTGAAGTATGTAGGACACTTGTGTGAAATAAAACTTTGCCAGCACTTTATAGCCCTTTCATTCTGATGTGGCTGCTTTTCTCTTCCAGCCAACTGCTCTGCGTCTCTGCAGCACTGCAGAACTTGTAGACAAGCCCTCGTCCAAAAAGCAGGGAAGAAATCGGTTGTGCATGCTTAGCAATGTTTCCTGGCTTTGTCTCCAAGGCAGGCCTTGGCCCTCCTTACAGGCAGTGAGCTTCAGTGCCATGACTGTTCCAGGATATTTTTGCTTGACCTTATATTCTGCATTTTCCACTGCTGCTGTTGAAGCTTTCTTCACTGAGCCCTCTTGCTGAGCAGGTGTTTTTCCTTTTTTTATAGGAGGAGTTTGGGAAGAGTTTGGTGGAGGACTTTCCTGGTGACTTTGTGGTGGATCTCAACCCCACAGTGGATGGGTATGCTCATCACAGGCTATTTGTAATATTTCTGTCGCTGAAAACCTGAGTTTGTCAACAAGAGCTTGTCTGTCTTTCCTTGCAGTTCGTTCTTGTTCCCAGTGAAGTCCTTGTATAATCTGGATGAAGATGAGAGTCAGGGAGCAATTGCTATTAACCTCTTACCATTGGTGTCGCAGAGTGAGCTTGGCAGGGTTGCTGATGGAACGAGTAACCAAAATAAAAGGTACTTTGACACTTAACTGTGGATGACTGCAAAGGTAAAGGAATTGTTTTCATTTGGTGCACTTCACTGCTATCAGCCCTGCCTGCCAAAGTGCCTGATAAGGAGCTGGTCAGAGAATTTACCAGTTTCCAGAGTTCTTTCCCTTCTCTTGCTCTTACACATATTCAGATAGGTCTAGAGGCATAAGCTGGTTGGGAACTGGCAGTCTGTTCTGACTCAGGCTGTTTTGGTGATCTTGGGTAAATCATGCTGCATCTGCCTTTGTTTCCCGTATGTCATATGAGAACAGTAGCTTATTCTTCCAGTGTTATGGGGATATTGAATGCCATATTGGGATGGAGAGGCAACTCTGAGGTGGGAAATTAATATTTTGATCAATGATTCTCAAATAGAGAGTCACTAAGGACTTAGTGTGTGTCAATAGTACACAATTTTTCTCACCTTCAGTTGTACTTGGACAACATAGACTGTGCTCCAGAACAGAACCAAAAACATGCAGCCACAAGTGAAATTTGACTGAGAAATAAGGGCTTTGTCTTTGGAGAATGGAACAGAAAGCATGTAATAGAAATTGTAATTAAACAGTAGGACATCAAAGTTAAAAATAATAAAGACTTTTTAAACTGGCATCTTCATATCCTGCATAATTTACTGTAAAAAGATTTCATTGAGATTTTAGTTGTGCTTAAAAAAAGACATGATTGTTTTAAAAGAAAAGAAAATATAGCAACTTTACATGCATCTATGGAAAAATGTTTATTTTCCTCACTCAGAATGTGAGCAGTGACATGCTACAAAACATTCAAGGAGATTTCTCCACTGCTCACAGCTGTGTTTTGCACAATTTCTTATAGTTCCTTCTGAATTATTCAACTTTGATTTCTACCAGAAATAAATCTGAGCCCGGTTTTGTTCATTACAGCTGTTTTTCTGCCCTTACATGCTTTTCCAGAAACCTGGTGATCACCGATTTTTTAATTTTATTTTTTTAACCATGTGGTGCATTTCTGCTCTGTGTTGCTGCGACTTGTAAAAAGTGAAACAGAAGGCATAGTCAAGGTGGCGTGGAGAGGGCACAGGACATAATGGAATAGTGATGGGCATTCTGGAAGCATACAAAACATAGGACCCACTCCATTTCTCCTTTTTTCCCCAGGGTAGTTTCACCGATATGTCTGTCACCCTCTTTCCGGTTGCTGAGGCTCTACACTGGAGAGCAAAACAGTGGAAGCCTGGAGGAGATTGATGCCTTATTAGGTATGGGAAATGGATCTTTATTATAGAGTCTGGCTGGCTGACTTGTTCCTGCCCCAGATCTGCAGAGACTTCCTGCAGTTGTGGGAAGAATTGTACAGTTTGTGAAGGAGGCTGAGATGCTCTGTTGACCACAAAGTGGAAGGGAGGCAGAGGAGAAAATTGCTTTGTCTGGGGATGGAGTGGCTGACGAGGCTTACTCCAAATAGTCATTGGAATTGATACAGGCCTTGGTAAGAGACTTTGTCCACACGAAGACCAAAGGGTAGATGGCAAACACAGTACAACATGTTCCTCCTGCTCTGTCCTAGGCTGCCCCCTGTACCTGACTGACCTGGAGGTTGAAGGCAAGCTGGACTCTCTGTCCAAGCAGGAACGTGAATTTCTGTGCTCGCTCCTCTTTTATGCCCTCAACTGGTTTCGTGAGGTGAGTAGCACCTTGACTGCAGGTTCTGGAGTGTTGCTGAGGGGTACTTACAAACACTGACCTTAGGCTTCAGAGGTGCAATTGTTGAAGACGACTCTTGCTTCTTGGAAACCTTGTCTGGCGAGGTCCTGGTAATCTGCCCATGTTCTTTCCATAATAACTTATCATTTATTCTGCGGCTAGCAGCAACTCTGCTGTCTTGGTCAGAGGCCCTAAGGACTGCCTTGATGATGTGAGTTTTCCACCTGCTTCTCAGCTGCAGTTTGTACACTCTGGCACATTTTGGTGCATGAAAATCAGTTTTACTGTTGCAGAGAGAACGCTGTAAATCCCAAATATATGTCTAAACTGTGAGATAACATATGTCTAAATTTTGAAGGGAGCATCAGATGGAAAGGTGAGTCTCACCATGCTGGAGGGCGGAGGCGTCGACAGCTGGTCAAGGACATTGATTATTGCTTTCTGCTTGGCATGTGTGAGGCCCTGTCTGCAGTACTGTGTCCAGTCTGGGCCTCCCATTGTCATTCTGGAGTAAGTCCAGCAGAGGCCACCAGGCTGATGAGGGTCTGGAGCACATGGTGTGTCAGGGGAGGCTGGGAGAGTGGAGGTTGTTCAGCCTGGAGAGAGGAAGCCAGAGAGGAGGGCGTATTGTGGTCTTTCACTATGGTCTTCTGTTACCTAACAGAAAAGTTGTGCTCTGCTTCCAGAGAAGCTGTGGGATCGCCTTTCCTGGAGATGCTCAGTGCTCCACTAGAAAAGGCTCCAAGCAACCTGTCCAGTTAGCGCTGCTCTGGGCGGGGTTTGGACTAAAGGCTTCCACAGGTCCCTTGCAAACTCAGTCGTGATTGTGCGCTTTGTTCTGTGCCTCTGTGAGCTCACAGAAGGGTGAAGTGCAGTGCCTTCAAGCTGATTTGGACCATGTATTTGCTAACATCGATGGCCAGTGGGAACGTTCTCTGCTGGGGTTATTCTGGTAGCATGAGCTATGTCAGAGTTGGTGCAATTCCACGCCCTCAGCCCTCCCTGTTCCTGCTCTTCTCCCAGGACTGCCTCTTTCCTGGCAGACCTGGGAAGTGCCGAGGGGTCTCCAGAGCCACAGGCATCACAGAACCCGACAATGTGGTGTCTGCTAATTCCTCTTCTTCAGTTAATATTTGATCTGTAGGTGTTGCTCTATTGCTCTCTGTGGAATGCTCCAGTTATGTCCATGTTCTCATGGGCTTCTGAAGAGCTTTGTTCATGCAGTCTGGATCTGGTCACACAGGCCACTTGTGCTGTATTGTGTGTTTATCTGGGACTTGAGGATGTTATTCAGAAAATAAAAAGTAGTAAAAGTGGTTACAAATCTCCCTATGTCAGTGAGTTTGGTTTGTATCTCTAGGTTGTAAATGCCTTCTGCCAACAACAGGATGCTGAGATGAAGGGAAAAGTTTTGACTCGATTACAGAACATCACAGAGCTGCAGAATGTGCTGGGAAAATGCTTGACGGGTGAGTATGAAACATTTGTACGTTCTGGACTTGCGCCAGCTGTGAAGTGAAAGGGATTGGCTTAAACATCAATGGAGGAAGTATATGGTAACACACACTGCATTTTTACAAGGGTCTGAGAATTCATGCATGGCAGCTATTGTTTTCAGTTTGTCTGAGTCCAAACTGCCCTCCTCAATCACCTCCTTAGTGACATCTCTTTGTTCCCAGGCAGACTTGGCAGAATCTGCCTGAGTATGGTGGATACTGGAGTAAACCTGCCTCTGTCCTAAAGAAACAGTGTGTTTCTCCAGTATTCAGGTTGTAACAAGCTGTTAAGGGATGTTCTAAGGATCTGCTGCCTCCAGCTGCTCTAGGCCCCTGAATTCCTCCTGCCTAGCTGCTGGAGACCAGTGTGGAGACCCCAAGGTCTCTGTCCCAGGCCGATGGACACAGCTACATGGACTGCCACAGGCAAGGCGCTGCCTTCGACAGCACCTATGTATAGGACTCACATAAAACAGAAGTACCAACAGCCAAGCCCCCATCCTGCTCTTCAGATGGTTAAGACTGAAGTTCACTAGTGAAGGCCCACACATGACACACTCTAGAGGCACAAGCACATGAATATTTGTGAATCCCACAAGTATTGGCACAGCCCTTCCCTCTGCCCAATAGCCTGTCCAGATATCAGGCCCTCTAATCTGCTCCATGGGTTCTCTACTCATCAGCTACTCCAGCTTGCTGCTTGCTAGCAAACAGATGTACACACTCATCTCACAGGCACAGGCTCCACACACAAACTCTATGGGACCTGAAGAGGTGCTCCCAAGAGCTACAGCACCTTTAACTACTGGCACCGAGACCCTCGCTCACTCCAGTTGCTGACACTGCAGGCCCAGAGTGGTCCAACTCTAGTTGCTGGCCCAGTATTTACTTGCACAGATCTCACCAGTGTTTGGCATGTAGTCCTTGCGGTGCGTGTGTGCACACAAACAGAGGACAGTGAGAGTACACTGAAATATAGTTAAGAAAATACTCTAATAAGAAAGTAGAACATGCTGTGGCAATCAGGCTCAGGGCTCAGTCAGACAAGCACGCTGATCAGACAGTTCTACTGACCAGCAATGCTTTACTCGTGACCAGTCTCTTTTATACTGTTTCTTCCCATTCCCTTCTTTGTTACTCCCGGCCCTAGTTCCCTGCATATTCCTTTATTAATTTGCATAGTTCTACCATTCCTCCCCCATCAGAATATCCCAAATCCTCAAGTTCCTCTTTTTCCTCCCATCTTATCTGTTACAAAGTCCAGGTATCCATTCTCGAAGCCATGCCTGGAGTTTCTTAATGGCTCAACATTAAGAAAACTGCAGACTTTTGGTCTTTGCTATTGTCTCCATTATCTCTTGTCTACCAAGTTTGTGTGTGTCCTTGTTTATGGCTTCTCCCTTTACTTATTATTTCCTTTTACGCTGAAAAGGTCTTTGATAAAATAAATGTAAGGAAGAACACACTGCCACCTTCCATGTACCCTTACACAAGCTATCCATTTAGAGCTGCATTTGTAAACCAACAGACCAATTTTGTCCAAAATAAAGTGCAGCCTCAACACCTCTCTGCTGCTCCGAGCGCATTACAAGGCCAGCACAGAAAGGACTCAGATGTGCTGGAACAGCCCTTTCAGCTTCACCAACACGGACAGATGTCCAAGGACAGCTGAGCACTTGTTATCCTTCCTTGCTGGAGGAATGCGAAGAGCTGTAATTCCAGTGCAGTGCAGACATATGGTAAAACTAATGGGAACTAAAAGCACCTAAGTATAAGGGCAGAGGGAAGTTCACCAGTACAGTGAAACATACGGTACTTCTTCTAGACATGTGTCTTGCCTATATTTTGTTATTTAGGAGCTGAACTAACCCAATTTCTTCATTTTTGGCTCTTTCAGCAACCCCTGGCTATGTCCCACCACCAGCTACTTTTGATTCTGAAGCCCTGGAGGCCGTACCGTCCATTAATGCAGTTGGTCCAGCGAGAAAAAGGAATGGTAAAGAAAGTTTGAAACATTGATGTAAACAGATGTGATGTGGTGTTTGACTGGCATATTGCAGGGCAGCCGTTGCATTCGTGTGTGCATAAAGCACAGAATTCCTGGCAATGTTTATCTAGCTTGAAATCTTATCTGATTACCTCCTGTTGCAGCTGAAGTGGAGATGTAAAAATATCCTACTCCAAACAGGTGTTGGATAGTCTGTTTCCTTGGGAAAGCCAATGCTTGACATTTAACAGTGAAAATCCAGAGCTTTCATTGACTATTTTCACCTGCCAAAGTATTTTCTGCAGCATTAAGTTGTTCTGCCTCTGACAGGTTCATGCAATTGTCTGGTACTGAACCTGTGGCTTGAGCCGCCTTGCAAATCCCTGACCTTTAGTTTGTACCTAACTGATCTCTTAGGAACCTTGCCATGGCTCTGCTGCACAAGGAAACGCTTCCTTCATCCTTTCCCATTGCTAGCTCCCACAGAGAAGAAACAGAACTTGCCTTTCAGTTTTTCAAGCTGAGTAGATTTGCTCTGTTTTTGATGTCTCTAGTTCTATTTCTGGTTTAGATTAACATTTCCTGGGAACGTGTCTGCCTTTGAGCCAAACTGGACAAAAATTCACATTCCATTCAATGAAAACAACTGGAGGAGGCCACAGATTAGAGAACTCTTTTCTCCTGTGCCAAACTCATTTTGCAGGGACTGGACCTGTCATGTAAGAGTGATTAAGGCAGAACGAAAGTTACGACTATGTTCTGCAGACAAGAGGAGGATCCATCACTTTAGATACTTAATTTTGAACGAGCAGAAGTAAGTGCTCAGACTAGTAAACCCAGCGC